ACTATATATCTCTAGGAGAGGGTGAAGGAGGTCAAGCACCCTCCTCTATAGCGGTAATCCACACAGCAAGATTGTGATAACGCTCCTCAAATCTCCATACCTGCTCTGAGGAGGAGAAGGGGAAGAGAATAGAAGAAGCAAACCAAAAAAGCTATAGCTTATGAACCATTGATTTCCTCCTATTTATAGAGGTCTCATGTCAACTTAACCATAATGGATCCTATCATATTGGGTATTGAATCTCCATCCAACTGCCCAAGCCTCATAGATTAGTGGATCTCTATCTAATAATCTCTCATGGACTCTTACTGGATCTCATCCATACGATCCAATAATTTAGGGGCTTATTGGATATCCAATAAGATAGGGGCTCCGACGGATATATCATATCTGAAACTCTATTCATCGTAATGCATACCATATGTGTGTGACCCTCTAGGCCCAATATCGAGCTGACTATGAGTCATACCTATCAGAACTCCTTTTGGCTCAGTGAATTATTATCTCCATAATAATTCACTCGACTCATTAACTGCGAACGTACTAGGCCACTACGTCGCAGTCCCCAAACGATATAGAGGAATCCAATCCATTGGACCTGTCTGCCCTCAGTTATCGTGTACCTATGGTCCATATAATATCCCAGAGATCATATATCGGGCATGGTGCAGTCAGACCCATACGGTTTCTACTCGAGTCTCGCTTTAATCGGATTCTCCCGATGAAATCTTTCTCTCTCTATCCGAATGACCCTGGCCAGGGATTTCTCCGAGCAAGAACATATGAGATATTCCTCTTATGATACCGAGAGTTGATGATCCTCTATTGACACTCAATAGTCCTCGTAAGATTGGCTATCACTCCCGATGACCGATTGTATTAAATCTAGAACATCTAAACCAATAAGTCTGGTATCAAAGAGTGAAGTACTCATACAGGACATTCTTGGTGTCTCAAGTCTAAGGACTAGATACACCATTGGGACTATGGAATCGTTGTCGAACAATAAAGCATCATCAACCATCCAGCATTCCATAAGCGAATCAATCAGTGAACTCATTCTCCAATGAGCACATGTACTGTATCCTTAGTGTCCCCACACGAGCAACTATAAGACCAGCTGCATTCATCATATGGATGGGTATACACCATACCGGTCTATCTGGTTATCTCGATGTCCCTCTCGAGTAACCTATGACCGGGATTATTTAGGATCTATGTTTAAAGGTGAATCGGTCTCATTATCATGATCTCATCACGATCCAATTCTCATTGCACAGGTCCATGAACATCACAATATATTCAAGCAACATGCAATATAAAGTGATAAATACCAAAATATAATAAGCATAAAAACTGTGTCAAGTCACACGTTCTACCACTCACGTGATTGGCTTGCAGGACACCTATGACTAGCAATTATGGTATCGCCCTCATGGACGCGGTCAGTAAACACGTTAGAGTGAACATGAAGCCTCAAGATGAGATGGAGCGTCGTGTTAGATATGCCACCTCGAACTCGGGATGATGGCCGCCCCTTCTCGTGATGTCAGAAGTTGCACGAGATAGTGTTGTACGGTTGAAGGCCGCTCCAGAAAACGTGACGTCATTCCATGTAGATCGATCGGTGGTCGCCCAAAGGTACAGGCGAACCGCCTGAGGAGTCAACTGCCATCATCAGATCACATACGACCAACCCTCGGTCGCAAGCATAAAAGCCCCCTGACCAACATCAACCAAGGGGGGGAACTATTCTTCTAAAAAACTCCACTCAATACTGACTTAACCTTTGGAGAGGCCAAGGTCAGGAAACCCCTCCCCTCCCGACCTAGGCCTGTATGTAGGAGTCTGGCGACGACGAAGCAGACATTGTGCCAATCAAAGAATTATGTGCAGAGCCAACCCCGAGCTCAACCCGACATGACGAAGGCCTCGTCGCAGGGACGATCCTGAACATCGTCAATTGGACCAAGCCTTACTCACAACTCAAGCCACGACTAGAGAAGTTCGTTGACGGTGAGCTTGGAACAGACCTTCTTCTTGCTCTCATTTAAACTCCACAGAGCGGCTTAGGGTGAGTTGATCAGATTAAACTTTCTTAGTAGCAGATCACATTTCTCTTCTGCTTCATGAGAAATTATGTCAGGAGACTAAAAATAGTTTCAGTAACAATATCAAAGCATTTGAGAGATGGAATGAAAGTTAAAAAAAAAACTAAGTTAACACAGATAACAGTAGGATTAAAACTAAATTTGATGTGGTCAAATTTGTATGTCAATTCATTATGGTGAAATTAATTTGACCAGCCTCATTTTTCTGAATTGCTATGTAGAGAAATATGTTATATATTATCACTTTTACAATCATCAAATAATAAAATATTTTTAAAAAATAGAAAAATATTTTCTTTAAATATTATTCTAATTTAATATGTGCCCTTTTCAAGAGTGCCAAAACAAGTTCATTTACATCTACTTGAAATAAGAACCTGCGGAATCCGTCTCCCGTTAGATGATGCAGCGGAACACTGTGGAAACCACAAGAACCAGCGGCAGAGAAAAAGTTATCTCACGTTCAGTTCATCTTCTTTTCTTTTTTTCTTTTTTTCTTTTTTTTATTATCTCCAGTGGCATTTGCTATCCCTGTCGTCTTGCAGTATGATATGATTCATCAGTGGACCAAACTAAACGACTGAAAAAGAAAGAAACAATGTTTGATATGACCTGTCTGTTCTTCCCGTCCGGGCTTCCTGGCACTCGCTCTGCTACAGACATAAACACAGCCTGTATTCTGCATGCAGTGTTGTGTTGACAAGGACCCCAGCGGTGACCATGTGGTGTGCGCATGGCGCGGTTTAGCATCAGATGCCGTGGCTACAGATCCGCGAGCTAGAGGGTGATGCAGGCGCCACCGTCCTTGTTCACGAGATGGATGCAGCAGTTGTCGGCAGCGTGCTCCACCGGAACTCGTCATGGTAGACTCGCCTTATATGCTGCTGCAGCCAGTTGCTTTAGATCTCATCAACATAGACCAAGGCGGGAGCTCTGTAAGGGGGAGCTGAGATGGCAGCTGCAGGCACCGCTGCGCCGGAGAACCGCATGCAGCCGCTGAAAGGCCGCGTGGCCATCGTGACAGGCGGCGCAGGTGGAATCGGCTCGGCTGTCTGCGCCCACCTTGCCTCCCTCGGCGCAAGCGTCGTCATCGGATACGTCGGTGACCCGAGCCCGGCGGAGAAGTTGGCGGAGACGATCAACACGACCTACGGGGCGCCGCGGGCCATCGCGGTCTCCGCCGACGTGTCCAGCTTCGCCCAAGTCAAGTCCCTGTTCGACGCAGCTGAAGCTACCTTCGGCCCCAACCTCCACATCCTCGTCACCGCGGCCGCCGTCATCGACGCCGAGTACCCGCCGATAGCCGACACCAGCGAGGAAAGCTTCGACTGGATGTTCGGCGTGAACGCCAAGGGCACGTTCCTGTGCTGCCGGGAGGCGGCGAATCGCCTGGTCCGGGACGGGGGCGGGCGGATCATCACCTTCACGTCGTCGGGAGTGGGGTCGCTGCGGCCGGGCTACGGGGCGTACGCGGCGACCAAGGGGGCGATCGAGGTGATGACGAGGGTGCTGGCGAAGGAGCTGAGGGGGACGCGCATCACGGCTAACGGGGTGGCCCCGGGTTCGACGGCGACGCCCATGTTCTACGCGGGGAAGTCGGAGGAGGACGTGAAGGCGTGCGTGGCGGAGATACCGCTGGGCCGGCTGGGGCAGCCGGAGGACGTGGCGCCGCTGGTGGGCTTCTTGGCTGGCGACGACGGAGAATGGGTGAATGGGCAGATCATTCGTGCCAACGGTGGCAATGTCTGAGATTGATTGCTGCAATCCCCTGTCAACGATCCACGTGGTTTGATCAACTAAAAATGGTGTGTGTCAGTTGATGGTGATGGACATGAAAAACAGCGAGTAATGTAGACGTCGAGTTTGACTGAGAACAGGTAATCGGAACGCCTCATAATCAAACCCCATCGAGGCAAGCAAGAACAAAGAATCATGGGAAAATATGTATAAGAAATTAGAGAAGATAATGTTTAAATTTCATATAATTAGTTTAGGGTTTACGCTTTATCTTCCAGTCTTACCCTAGATTTCTTCCATTTACACCTATTTTGGGTCAATCTTAAACAGGATCTCATAAATCTACATCTCATTTAGAGTTTGAGCTATATCTATCTATGTGGATCAAGATTCATTTAGATCAATGATCCAAGCAAGATACGATCCATATCTTGATGAATTTAAGCTAGATCTTTAATTTTGCAGCAAAAATAATTCTCGTTATTTGCGAATTTGATCATATATTATAACTCTTTAAATAAGAAAAAAACCTTATAGCTCATGTATTGTGCTTCGAAAAGTTTGCGTGCATCCGTTGCAACTTATGTATAAGAATTTGACGAGGGTAATAATGGCGACAAGACTCGGGTGACGTCAACTGTCCCAGATGACGCCTCACGCCTCTGTTGACCTGTCCTAGTCAACGCGGACCGGAACGCCGACCAAGGCACATTAACACCCTGCTCATGCTCAATCCCTCACACCACGCCAACATCGATGTCAGACACTACCAGAAGTACGATCCTGCTCCCTGCGGGCAGGCACATCAGGCAACGGTAACCCTCACTATAAAAACTCTCGCGCTCCGAGGAAAAGAGGAGGAGGTCACAATAGATAAAAAAAAACCCCCTACGACTATTCACTAACTTGATCGTCGGAGGGGTCGGGCCGAGCTCCCCCGACCCGACCTGTGTGTAGGTGCGAAAACGAAGGCCTCCCACTAAATGCCCAGGCGAGGAGTTCCCTCCCGGAGGAAGCAGCGACCCCATCTCAATCGGACCATTGCAATCGGCCACCTCAGCGGTCTCAAGGGCCGCCCTGGGAAGATCCCCCATCATCCGGACCCGAACCAAACCGCGTCGGCTCCGAGGCCACAGCTTAAAGTTGTTTACACCAACATTTTAGTGCTAGAAGGAGGGCCCGAATGTCAGGGGATCGTCCAATTGGCTCAGACGAGCTCGCAGCTGAGGGGTCACACCCGATCGGGGCTCCGGGGGAACACCCTCGTGCAGAGAACCTCGAGACGAACCCCCCACCACGACTTCAGAGCGCTATTGGCGGATATTTAACGACCCGGGCCTGTCACCACCAAACGACACCCCAGCTGGCCCGTCGCCCGTGTCGTCCGAGGCCTTTCAGGACCTCACTCATCAAGTCTGAACTCTAACCGGTATGGTGCAGTCCATTATCCCACTCGTTTTTCGACCGCTGCATCCGCCTGCGATCCAACCATTGTGGCAACAGGAGCTGCCCGTTCGGGCTCGCACCCCACTCTGGGAGCTTCCGACTTCCCCCCGGGACCGAACGGCCCCACTCGGGAATCGAGCAACGGCAAACCCGAGAGGCTGCCCGGAACCCGAGGCATTCTCCTCAGACTCACGGATTCCTTGTGAGCCCAGCTACGCTTCGTTAGTCAACGGCACGACGAGGTGCAGAAAGAGGTTCGCAGGTCGAGGGGAGAGCTCGGGGAGGACGCACACTAGGGATCTCCATTCACACCCGAGATATAGGATCACACAGTCCCCCCGAACTTCCGACTCCCCTCCCTGGATGCATACGCCGCTTTCTGTGCCCAGATGGCGCTGTATGGAACTTCTGATGCTTTGATGTGCAGAGCGTTTCCTACCACTCTGAGAGGGCCGGCCCACACGTGGTACAACGGCCTGAAGATCGGGACGATCGCCTCTTTTGACCAGCTCGTCAAGGACTTCGAACTCAACTTCTTGGCTTATGCCCGGCCGAAACATTCCGTTGCACTACTCCTCAGACTCAACCAGAGGGAGGACGAGCCCCTCTCCCATTTTGTGAATCGTTTTGCAACACAAATCCGGGGATTACCGGACGCTCACCCCTCTCTATTTATGCATGCGTTTATGATAGGCCTGTGACCTTCCATATTCTTCTGGTCTCTCGTGGAGCGACCCCCCACCGCGGTGCTTGAGATGCTTCAACGCGCGAACCAGTTCATCGCGGCTGAGGCCTGGATGGCCAGGAAGCGGGAGGAGCACAAGAGGGACAGGCCGGAGCCGGCTCGGGGACAACCGGCTGCCGCGCCAAGGTGCAGGATGGATCGGCCTGACCCGTCGGCGTTGAGGACCCCGTTGCCCTCTTTGGGCGTGTCCCTAACGGAGATATTTCTCCAAATAAGGGAAAAAGGGTTACTCAAGGCCCCCAACCCGATGAAAAGCCCGTGGGAACTCGCCGACCAGTCCAAGTATTGCCGCTTCCACTGGCAAAGCGGGCACGATACTGAGGAGTGCCGCGAGCTGAAGCG